AGAGCAAATCGAAGTGGCAGCGAATCCCTAGGCTCGTAAATTGAACTATCCCGGAGGGTTGAAACGTCGAGGCCACTGAAAGGACTTCGTATTTTAAAATCTACCCGTATAAGGAAGAAAATGTTTTATCAATATCAGTCTACTAGCGGAAACATGTTATCACATAGAAATATATTACAAACTTTGGCAATGGACAGTACAACCCCGCTCAAGTGAAAGGTCCCAGGAGCGATTCCAAGCGATGACGATTTCTTCTCCAATTAAAATACACGTTTTTCTGGTTTTTTTCAGAACAGCACCATTTATTGCGCAGAAATCGACATTTAAGCAGCCATTACCGAAGCACAGCGTTTGTCTCTCCTTTCCCAGCTTTTGCAAAAGGGGAAGGTTCTAATCATGCCTGAGAGCAGCTCATCGATTTTGCGTTTTCGACGTTCATGCTTTCAATTTTGGGACCAAGATGGCGTATATACAAGGCATCTAAATAACTAAATGTGAGACGGCTTATAGCCATTGAGCGATATATTTATCCGACGGAGGGAAGATTGAATTTTTGGTCCTAACAACAACTCAGAAGTGACTTTTGACCATATTTTTTAATTGAAAAGTAACCCAGCGCCAAGTTAAAGTAAACAGAGTTTCTTAATGCTTGAGAAATTATTGTGCATTCTAGTTCGTTCTCAGAACAAAGCACGATCGTGAAGTGAAGACCGTATTAACGCATGAATACTCATTTTCAAGCTGAATTTGCAGCAGTGTAGGCAGAACTTTAGAAAATATTGTAAAAATTGATTATTTAGCTTTTTCATTCCTGCTAGGATTCCCAATCGCAAAACGTTCTAGAATTTCAGCGCTATCATCCACCATGAAGCTGGAAAGCCGCGAAAGGTAAACATTAAATCTAATCTTGAGAGATCTGTCAGTAAAGCGATAAAAGAAAATAATATACGCAGAATATCATGAGTTTGAAGAGAGAGAGAGTTTTTCATCATGAAGTTACTTACTTGTCACGGTGCTGACTTATTTTTTTGAAGATCAGGCAATTGAGATCTGGAGCAGTTCAGTTACAGCGAGGCACTAATTATCTAAGACCATCTGAGGTGGGGACTACATTTTAGAGTAGTGGGTGTTGCTAAAATCAGGCCTGCGGCCCACGTCTTACCTCATCAATGTCCCCAGGCCATAACAGGTTGACCTGAGGCCAACGCACTCGAAAGACTTCGAATCTTATGGTCTGTTAAGTTCATATGTGGAAAATTCTCTAAGGTTTTATATGTTACTTTTTTTTTCCAGATTATCAGCCCATAAAACTTTGGTGCTGATTGTTCAGAGAATGAAATGAAAGTCTTTCCTGCCGGACAGATTGACGTTTTTCGGCAAAACAGGGAAATTGAACCAAACTTTTTCCGATTTACTTAACCAGACATTAAAATGAAAACGTGTTACTAAGTCTTAACAAACTCCGAAAAAATTTAAAGATCGGTCACAAAGAGAATGGAAAGTCATTCCTGTAGCGACTTGTCACAGCTAAAAATCACCAGGAAGAGAATTATCCTTTGAAAGGTGTAATACCCTGGTGTCTGCCCTTCTGAGCGCAAAATGAAGCCAGAATGGAAATTGAATAATCAACATAATGTGACAGCATTTTCAGTTAAAAAATATCGCTCTGATTAAGACATGGAAGCTGCTCACAACTTGATAACAGGCATTGAAGAAGCTCATTACTCAAACAAAGCATTTGTCTACCTTTCCCTGTTTTTGAAATAAAGGGGAGGTTTTAGTCATTCCTAAGTGCAGCTTATCGATGTTGTGTTTTTCGGCGGTGGATTATTCGCTATTGGGACCAAGGCGACGTACAGGCAAGGCCTATTATTAAGGAATGACAGGTTTCCCTCGAACTCGTAAAATGGCTGTCAGCGAATTTTTTATTTGAAAATCAACCCTGATGCGACATAGCAGAGATATAAAAATCGCCAAGACTAGAATAATTTTATGAGTAGAGTGATACCCTGGTGCCTGCCCATCTGAGTGCGGGGTGAATCCAGAGGGTCATATGAATAATAAATAGGGTGTGGTTACATTTTCAACAACGAAGTATCGCACCGCAAAAAAAATAAACTACTCACTACTTGATGATGAGTTTAAAGGTGCAATTCCTGAAAACTATCTTAAATGTCCAAGAACTCAAAATCGACGGCAAAGAGAATGGCAGGAAGCGCTTTCACTTTTTTCGACAAAAAATATGAACAAATTAATGTCATCGTGACACGAAGTTTCCGCTACAGGTTCCCATGTTGGAAGGATAAAAGTACCTGCCTGCTTCCATAAGCTGTGACAAGGGAGTTTAATCTTGGAAAACTTTTCCTCAAATTTTGGTCAGGAAATCTTTGAGACAACCTAAGTGTCACAACGAAGCGCAACTTCAACTTTTTTCTTCAGCAAAAATCTCATCAAAGTGACGTCGTAGTAGCGCAAATGTTTTAGCTGCAGGGTGCTATCTATGAAATGGGAGAGAGCTGCCTGCTTGCTTCCCAGTAAACTTTGATGAGGGTCTGGTTTCAAAAAACTTTCAAAAAGTCTTTTTAGCAACCTAAACGTTCTAGTTATGATATTTTTGGTTTCCCCTAATATGAAGTCATGTTATTACGAAGCAATATCTCGCTAATTGATACTAATTCTGTGACTGATCACTGAAAACCGAGTCGATTACATATCCCTTAATGGAGATTTGTAAATTTCCCTTACAACATAGTTAATTGGTTTGCATTAGAATTATAAATATTTCGTCTCGGAGCAAAAAGAGCAGAGATCATTTAAGCCATCTTCATGAAATGAATTTCAGTATGAGCCTGCTGTAGCTGTTTCGCCGTGGGCGAGTTTGTCATTTTGAAAACTGAGATACAATTTGACATATTTTGTGATTTTTTATGTGAAACAGAGGAATGATAACCTGAAGCCAACTCTCATTGGGAAGATTAAAAGAATATCGTGATGTTAAAGAAATATATGCTCAAATGTCAATGTTTGCGGCCTGCCTGAGCTCATCTGGTCATTTTCTGAAAGCTGAGGCAAGTCACTCCAGTTTTGTCTATTTAGAAGTTTTAGTGGCTACCTAAAAAAATGAAGGCTAGGCGCAAACTAAGAAACCTAGTCATGCAAGGTCACGGCAAAGAAATTCATGATGAAGTTAAAATCTATTTGTTCGTCTCAGCCCCTTTAAGGGCACATCAAACCCTGTCCATTGGTGAGGGAAATATGTTTTTCAATAAAACACTTAGCAATTAGTTCGTTCGTCAGCGTGTGCACATCCATATAAAGCACGTGGGAGGTTTTAGATAAAATAAGAAGTGTAACAGTTGCTCGCGGTATAGCCGCATGCAACATATTTTAACGCAGTACGTGATAGGTTGTTTTCCGGGGCCCAATGAGACATACGAGAAAAATGTACAGAATTAGTTAAGAAACAAATTGAAGAATAAAGATAAAAAATGTAGAGTCAGTCTCTCTCTCCCTCTCTCTTTCACCCTCTCTCTTTTCCATGCGCCTTTTTAGTGACAGAAAAAAACAGAACGTTCATTGTAATGTTTATTCTTCAATTTTCAATCTAGTGATTTAATTTGATTACACAAATAGCAAATAATTTCCAATTTTTGGCTACTCCGTCAGCTCGAGAAAGTCTAGTGACAGGCATTAATAAGCCATCCTGCACCTTGGAAAAACATTTGAGGGCTGAGACATTTCCAAATAGAACTTGGGGTACTATATCCTCGTCAGTTTCACTTCGACACTAAACCCATTTTTCAAATTTCTAAAGTGAACGGTTTGGCCACTTATATCCACGTTAGGTATGTAACTTGCAGGTGTACCATGGACTTTGGTATCGGCAACAGTTGTTTGTACTTGATTCCTGAGCGTTACTGATACAATTTTTTCTGTACTTTCAGAGGTGTACAGCAAACTTTCTCCCACATCTCTTGAATCAGTCAGAGTACCTGCACCACTCAAAGCTAAGTCGGGATAGGTGATCGCGAGATGGATGAATTGCGCTGTTTCCTCCACCATTATAAGACACTTTCCGGAATTCACATCTGTTATTGGCCCATGACTTGGCAAAGAGCTCGCACTTCTAAACATGACGTAACCTGTAACTGGATGACTGAGGCCTGACCAAGACTTGGGTGATTTGAGAAATTGAACAATGTGTGCGCGATCATCCATCCTCAAGACTTTGTAGACCTTGTTACCTGCGGTGTCTTGGGCCGTTTGGAGGTCACTCAGTTGCGTATGATAAGCTGCAGTCGGTATCAAGACAGCATACTCGTAGCTGGGGTTAGCCGAACTATGTTCAAACCACGCCGTACCATACTTTCCAGATGTGCTAGTACTTCCATCATCTTTTTTGGAGGTCTGAGTTGAGACATTTACCTTTAATATTGGACTACTGGTCCTGGGTATGTAATAGAAGTTTCCTTTTGCATCTGTAAGAGAAGTGCTGGAGGACGTCGATGAGACGTGATTATAATTAGACGAAGCGTCCTTTCGTGATCCATCAACCTTGATAAACTGCGAGGAAGAAAGCTTGTCTTGAAATAATGTTGTTTGAGCAATTTTCATGTTATTTCTTTGAAGTAAAATATCACTTCCCAAGCCAACTAAAAGGTTTTCAAACATGAAAACTGACTTTTTGAATTGAAATCTGATGTTCCCTCGCCAGTCCGAGACATCATATTCCGGTTGCTTAAAATTCATGCCAAACAGTCCGTTCTTCGAGGTCATAGTGCCCCCAAAAGTGAGTCCTCCCGCAAATCCGCGTTTATTGTAGAATCTCCCGGTTGTACCTATATTTAATTCATCTATGTTTGGATTCCCCAAGGCGATAGTAGTAGCCCCGGGAATTTTGGACCAATCCCATCCGGTATCAATATCATGATGCTGAAGGGCTGCTTCGTCATTTGCGATAAGGAGAGCACCATGACTGGCAAATAATCCAAACACATTTTCGTTCGCTGAGGTTTCATAATCCCAGACAAAGTTATTGAAACCTTTTACAGTCACTGCCCAGTTCTTACGCCGATGTATGGAAAGAGCGGCGAAGTTCTTGGACCAATGACCTTCAGGGGACTGCTCTTGTGATTTGCCTTGTGATACGGCAGTAGAATTCACCTATTAACGTAAAAGCAGACTAAAATAACATTTTGAGCATGTTTCATTTTGAGTGATGAATGCTTCATGGAAATTCAATTTGATTGTTACGCTACATTTCATTTTTTTACAATCTATTTTTATTGGTTTTTTTCAATTTCTTCACCGAGCTCAATATCAACCATCTTTCTTATTTTATTTTCCAAGATATGACACTATCGACATTGTTGATCCTGGCAGTTTGCAGGACGCGTGCGATATTAGAACTTCGTAATGGGCCTTGCTCACCATAGAGTATGTGGCTCAGTGGTAGAGCATCGGAGCGCGGCATCTATGGGTCTGAGGTTCGATTCCTCATGAAGACTCAGAATTTATTCTCTGTACCACGCTCGTTAGAAGACGAAAAACATCTTTCTCTGTTTCTCAACCAAGCTCCAATTTCACCACCTTTCTTATTTCATTTATTTCATTTTTTGTGACGGACAATGGTGTATGCAAAGCACGGATGGTGCTGTTGGCATCATGTTTTATAGCAAAGAGGGTCATCGCCAATTAATAATGAACATCAATAAGTTCCATTTTTAAAGGGGAACGATACTTACCGCTTCCATTATTTGCAGAGATCCCAGACTGTTGAAATAGTACTTATTTTTGTTCGGTGCTCCATCTTCTAGAAAACTTTCGACAGATGGGTCATTGTACAATCTCAGGAACCATTCTGGATTATTCAAACTGCTTACACTTACACCTGTTGGCACTGAAGTCGGTAAAGTAGTAGGATAAGCCACACTGATGTAAGCATAGGCCGGTAGATTCTTCACGAGAACCTTGTTCGAGTATTCTGGGTAACGTCCGCTTACACTGGGTGGAGTGGAGTATTTGACTGCCATGAGTCGCAGTGCTTCTAGTCCTCCTTTGATATGGTTCTCGCTTGTTGAAGATAGGGCGAACACAGTCCCTCCCAGAAGATATTGAACTAGAGCTGCATTTTGAAGGGCTGGTGGGCCGTAGGCTGATCCATAAAACGATTTATGGTGATATACCAAGTAGTCTGGCTTTATTAGTCCTCCAAGACCTTTATTGATAGATAACGCATTATTCTGCCACCGAATTAAGGCATCCATATCACGGATTTTTTCTTTGATGGCGTCATCGGTATCAGTCGGCATCACAAGCACAATAATAAGTCTATAAAGCATTAGCGTGATCATACGGTCAGCAGTTGTTCCTTGAAATTCAAAAGTTGGCGTTTGATAGATCTCTCCAAAGTCGGTGAACCACTTTGCTGTATTTATCAAATCCATCAATGTGCTTCTACTCAGCGATTCACTGAGGAGAAACAGAGAGTGCATGAACCCAGCACCGTCAAGGTTCATTTCATGGTCCAGGGATCCTAATCCACTACCATCTGTAAATCCTTGATCTTTAACAAAATCAAGAAGCTTGTTTATCCTACTCAGCCGATGGCTGTTAAGGGTTTCTATTGCAGTCTTTATTTGATCCACAGTCAGCGTAGAAGAGCTAGGTAGGCTCGACTCAAAAAATGCCTTCATATTGGCGTTTTTTCCAGCAATGGTCTTTATCGCTCTTGTTCTCCTTCTACCTGCATTGTTTAACTCTGACTGCTGTTCTGTGGCAACATCTGTAATCTCATTCGGACGAGAGCTTAGATGGTATTCTAGTGCTAATGGTAAAAGATTTTTAATCATGATATCTCCAAACTTTGTTCTAGGCTCACAATTTCTGCAGAACAAAGGAGGTCCTACAATGTCTCCAGTTACCGCATCAAAGCTTAAGTTATCGTACTCATCATGTGCTCTCTTGAATTTTCTTACAAGATCACTCCATCGTTTTTCTAGAGCCGGGCTGCGACTAGGGTAGTTAGGCGACGTTACAGTCTCATCCGAATACCAGTTCTTTAGCCGGCTTTTTATATGATCCAAATGGTTTCTTTTTTGTGTTTCAATAGTAGTAGGTGGGTCAGGGACTCTCGTGGCACCCCACCTATAAGTCTGTTGCCAAAAATCTGAGTTGTCGTACAAATCCTCACCAAATGGACTGATGGGAGGAACTATTTTGTCCCGTGATTGCTTTCTAATATTACAATTGAACTCGAGCTTGTCTATATAAACAGTTTGAGCTCCGTTTCCGATAAAGTTGACCTCATCGATAACAGTTGGGCTTTGTAAGCTATTACTTTGTGTCTTGCATTCTGCAAACGTTACCCAAATCCCACGCCATCCTTCAAAGTCATTTGCTGTAAAACCTCCAACAGTGGTAGCAGAATTTTTGAATTCCACTTGCAATGTATGTCCTGACGTCGATCCTTTGTAGATCCAGACTTTCACGCCCCCATTTCTCAGACAACTGTTAGGAATGGTAAACGTTGACGATCTTAACTGCAACGTTGATGCGCCAGTGGTTACCCATCTCAGAGATGATGATCCGTGTTTCACAGTCTTTTTATGGTTAGAAAGGCTTATCGTTCCAGTCGATGGCGAGGCAATGGTCTGAAAGCATCCTAACTGCGCTGCACTTTCAAAATCAAATGGCACATTGAAAGGGCAAGTAGATGGAGATTGGGCTGAAAGAAGAGGCGTACGAGCGGATTGGCATTTAACAACGTTCTTTAGCCTTTCTGATTCAAAAGATAACCCTTATACCAAGTGATCTAAGCTAGTGGTCAAGAAGTAGTAATGATTTTCTCTATGCCTCCTTGACGGCAATTAAACATCATTTTCAGTATCACAAATAAAGTGCCTATTCGTTTAACTCATCATATCATAGTTGCATGAAAAAGTGAAATTCAATCGATGCACCACAGCTTTGAAATTACCCCTCTTGGGTTAAAGGCAAATGGTTGGTTATTAGTGAAGCCCTACTCTCATTTAGGACTTTCTGTCTAGTTCGGACGTCTGTTAAGCGGATTTTAACCGGGTTTTTTTTTTATATATACTATAAGGCAAAACTCCAATGTGCTGAAAATTAACCTGAATAATGGCAAATGAAGATCTCCAAAAGATATGTGCTTGGCTGTCAAGTTTTCATTCCATTCTCTTTGACGAAGGGCTCACAGTCGAAAGATCAGCTTTAGAAAATCTGTAGATGCGTAATTTGCATTACCAATTCAGTTGATAATAGCAAATTATTAAAAAGTTTTCAATGCGATTCTCATATTTTGAGGAGACGTATCTTGCTGTGTTCGGCGATTACTATCATCTTGGCTTTATGATTTAATTATGATACCATATTCTCTTGGGTATGGTGCTACACTAGCTTGTCTGCCCCGCATAGGTTCTACCGTTAAGATGCCTTTTAAAAGTGACAACAGACTCACCTCGAACGCAAGTTTTAAAAACCGTCAGGAACAGGAGGAATATTTGCAGCAAAACCAAGAAGCTGAACATCTTCTTTGTTTGGGCCTGTCGATGGGTAACAATTTTCTTATTTATTTGTGGCCCATAGGACCAGTCGGATGATTGCCATAAATTGAACCATATCAGGAATATGTATTTGCCTATTGATGTGCAGATTGTGATGGGATAAATGTACGTTTGACATGCCAATCAAAATCTAACTCCTGTGATAAACGCTTCTCGCAAATCCATTGATTCACTAACGATTATGATTTAAAGCATTCTGGAGATGATCATCATAGTCAAGATCTAAATTTTTTACATGAACAACAATGCCCCAAGTTAATTATAGTTACAGTTTGAAATTTTACAAGATTCCATCGCTAGCCTTGATGTTTTTTTCCTTCTTTTGGCCATATAATTTTATAACTCTACATTAAATCGTCTATCTCAAAGAAAAACAGGATGGCGACAACGAATAAACTTATCTTGGCTGGCCTTGGTCTTTGATGTTTGATGTTTAATAACTCAAACCCTTTTGTTTAAAAGGAAACAAGATCACATCAGTTGTTCAACTTACCTCACAGGATTTGCAGGACTACTTAACTAACCTTGGTGTTTTATTTTTTGCCGCAATGTTTGATAACCACGACAGCTGTGTTAAACTTGCTCCGTGTCTCTTTTTTCAGGCTCCACGCCCAGGCATAAGAGCTAAGAACGTTGAGTAATAAAGAAATATTTGGTGCTTTTTATACCTTGTCTTTCAAATGACTCATCATTGAATCAGTGTTACAGCAGGGCAGAATTATCTCCATGACAAGTTTACAGGTGTAGAATGAAAGGACGCCCCCATGAGATATTTGGCACTTGTGACGCTATATTGACTAGTTCTTCCTCCATTGAGTTGAACTTTCCTCTTATTTTTCCACGAATTACCACAGAATCTTTTCATATGCCTTGATTTAAAATGTATCTCCTTGTAGACAACTAAGATCTAAGGTATACTGTAAACGTTCTTAACAATTTGAAGAAACGTGCCTTTACTCTAACTATATTTCACGATTTTCATTATTATTTATGACTGAGATAGAGTAAAAAAATCTGTTCCATTGTTGAGCAGGCAGTGGCCCACGTGGTGATCTCGCTGGTACATGCAGATGAACAACAAATGGTTGCTGTTGTCCGTTCTCGCAGAGCTGAAATTTTTGCGATAGCGATAAATTTCTCTCTAATCTCTCAATCTAATGATCTTTTCTTGCTATTGCGGAGTTTTTATCTTAAAAGATAGCTAGAGGAATTGATATTTCAAAGCTATTTCCCCGAAATACGATTCAAACTCTGCAAATTCATGCAAAGATGTAAAAGAGCTAAAAAAGAAACGGGCGGTATACACCTGTATACAATAGACACTCAGAGCTATTAGAACTATGACAACCGTATCTACATGTCATCTTTTTATTTACTTCTTTTAAGTAGGCTGTAGCGCTGGCTGTCACAAGTACGCTGTTGAAAAAAAGCACGACTATGTCAAGCGTGTCCTGAACAACAGGTTTTAACTTAGTTTTATAATAATAGTAAATCAATATTATCGTCCGCTAAAGCGAAAGAAAAATAAATTTCTTTAAAGAAAGTTTCGGTGACAGTTACCAGTGTTTCGTTACCCTGATGAAAACCCATCATCAGGGTGAAGCGTGGAGTGGTTTAGCGGTGGAATGTTACAATAAATTGCATCAAAGTTCTTTGACTTTCGATACAAATCGTCATTTTTTTTTCTCCATGTGGCGATGACGCCGACTTTTCCATGATGAACATCATCTCACTCCGCACGACAGCAGGGGCTGAGGGACAGTGAAAAACAAAAGGATCTTTTGAGAAAAGGCGATGGCATATTTCGAATTCTGCGATGTTGGACAGGGCATTCCTAGCCATGAGCAAGATAGGAAAGACTTTCAAGTTTCAATGTTAAAATACCATTACTTTCTCAGTTTCATTTAATTTTTAACCAAGAATGCAAATCACAAAACCGAGGGAGAAGTCAAAAATTGGTTTCGTTCTTAGGTTTGGAAATAGTATCAACTTGCATAACATAGATTCGAAACCCCTCATCCAAAGATATGAACTCAATGCATGTAATGAGTCACCAATAAGTTTCAAGCTTCTGTTCTATCTCACCACCAACCATTCTAACCAATTAGTGTGCCGGCCGCGAAATAGAGAGGTCTGATATTTCAATCTTTATGGGAACTCATATTTTGTCCTCTTCCCACTCTCTTGCCAAACTTTGCGACTAACATCTCACTTATTTCGTTGACAGAGCTTTAATTTAGGCATCTTTCCTGATTCTTTTTTGACACACACACGACGACTTGAGGGTAAAGTTTCTTTGTTCGATACTCATAATCGTTCACAGTCGTACTTCATTCTTTTATCGCTTATGAAGGAATTAGGAGATCTCAACGGTAGAAACAGCTGATCAACGATGCTATTTCACACTTCCCTTGTGTTCTTTCTTTGGGATGTTATAATCTCCAAATACAAGGAGGGGAATTTTATTTGATCATATTTTGCATGTCCCTTTTATGACATGAAAATCTCTCAGCTGTCAGAGGTTGACAATGCTTACTCTTCAGAATTCGGGCTTACCCGTGTAAACTATAATAATCGTAGCCTTTATTCTAAGATTCTTTTCCCTGTTATTTAGTTTTGGATGTCATTCCTTGTCATTAGGTGGAACAGGGATGTTATAGTAAGAAAAACTACTCTTCTTTCTTGGTCATGCAGTCAAACTACAATTTCAAGTCAAGTCATATTCTTTACAGTATGCGAAGGGGAACAGGGTACTTTTCCTTTTTTTTATTTTTACTGGTTCAATCCCAAACGAAAAAAAAAAAACAAAGAATGGGGCGGAGATCCAGATAAAAAATGAACCGTGTGATATGTAAAACTCCCCCCCACGTTTAGGGCCCTCTTGTAACAATGACCTTTCCTTGTGGAAGATGACTTCCTGTGGTTTTGATTGTTCAGTTTCTGCGTTTTCAACACATTCTTGAAAGCTGATGTAATTTTCGTTTTGAGAAGGAAGCCAGGGTTTGAATTCGCCACAAAAGGTAGGTCACGGTAAATGAATACTCAGGAATTAAGAAGTTCTCATCAAATTAAAAGGGAAAAAGAAAATCAGTTAATGACGTGAGTTTTCATTTGCTTAAGCCCTTACAATAGGTCCGATGAATAATAAATGTGGTCAATGTGGAAGCTTAAGTCCATGGCATTACCTCACGAATGTTGTCCAACACTCAGGAAATCGTTAGAGCTCGATCTCTAATTACCTGTCCTTCCGTTTACCATGTATTTTCTTTCGTATCATAATAGCGATCTAGGACGTTCAAAGACCATGGTATGTTGACAGAACGCAGCTCAGAAACAAAGAAACGAGCAAAATTGATTACTTCTTCCTCTCTTAAATCTCCATCCTCATTATCTTGTGACATCCATGCACCAAGATAAGTCAGTAGACCTGTGTTGCTCGAGAATTGTTTGCCTCGGAAATCGTTTTTTCTAACTTTAGTTTGGCCTTAAGGGACACCTTCTCCCCTCCAAAATTTCTGCCCATCTGGATTTTTGTTTGGCCCTGAGGCATAAATGTGCCACTCGGCCATCATTTGAGGATCATTAATATAAATTGATTGATTTATTGTAGTAAATCCTTGGCGGTTTTTCCTGGAGATTCCAAAATCAGTATTCTCTGGGCGTTCATGCCACCTGTTTCTCTTGCTGTCACTACATCCGAAGTCCATCGGCTGTATTTGTCGCAGTTGCTCCGACATTCATCGATTCCCAGTTCGATAAAATAGTCTATAGTCCCGGTCTTTTAACTGCTTTGCTACTGCTTTCCATTAAGACATATAACCGTTGTGATCTTCCTCTGTGGCATAGACCTCTGCTTGGTGATGAATCCAGGACATGATTGGAATCACAGCAGTTAGAGAAGTTAGCCGCGGTGTAATTATGAGAGTACAGGTCTTCCCTGCATCGAAGCCTTAAGTTTTTGAAGCCTTTATCACGGATGTCTTTGATATTCTGCTAAAAATTCTAATGCATTGGGCTCTTCGTCTTGAATCAGTTTGTAGAAAACCCTGGCCCAATCAGCTTTTGATATCGTTTGGCAGAGAACGGCGTTGGCAGAACGGCAGGGTATGAAATGGCAAAGACAACGACAATGACAGCGCTTTTTACCAAGAGCGTGGACAGAGTGATGTGAAGTTTCGGGGTAAGTTGATGAAGGATTGTTGACATCTTTGGATATTTTACTATTAAATAATTGTCATCTTTGATGTAAAAAAACAAACAAAATTGTCAGTAGATTTTTTGAATGATTAAAGTATATCAAGCTTCCAAATGATTGAGCTGCGAGTTCGAATAAAAAATGCATTGTGGTAGAATCTCGTTTTTTTCGCTAGGAAAGAAAAGGTTCGAAAGTAATTTTTTAAGTGTATGATTAAGATAAATAGTCAGAGAAGGTCCCTGATCTTAATAAACTGGAGGGTAATTTTTGGCCCATTCTTCTCTAATTTAGGGCTCTTTAAAGCGAGGTCGCGTTCAAATTTGCCTCACTTCACTTCAAGTTCATATGCAGATTACACACCTCACCTACTTGTGCTTTCATTTACAAAATTTACGTTCATTGATAGCTGAGAGAATCATTTAATCCTCTCACCGTTCTTACAATTTTCTATTTCTTTTCATAATTTCGGTGTGCGAGGCTGTCACCTCTTTTGTACCACTGATCTCTTGAAACGTAAAAAAAAAAAAAAAAAGATTGACAGTGAACACTGGAGAGAAAAATTGTGATACGGATAACAGTTTCTCTTTAACATGGTAACTGGCGACAAATTTTCCCCCTTTTTTGTCCCAGTTCATTCCTTTTAGGTTAAAGAATCCTAAAAGAGCAATTAAATGATATATTGTGCAAAACTAAATTTTGGACGCTTCATTGACAATCATTTTGAAAACGTTCCGATCCAGGTCACGTGATGCGATACGTCACACGTGTGTAAGGCAGTGCCAAGGGTCAAGTTAAGACCTGAAAGTAATAACTTCGCCTTAGCTATCCAGAAAAGATTTCCATTTCAAGTCCAGTGCAGGGACTTGAGGAACAAAAATTTTGAAGGATATAGTCATGGCATCCACCTGCACAGGTTGATTAAGCTTACTTCCCACCTTCAGAGGCCGAAAAAAATCGTTTTTTCTTTTATTTTACTAAACTGATTTCAAACATTTAACCTAAAGTTACCGAAAAAACTTGAAAAACGTATTTTCAAGTAATAGTTTTTAAATCAGGAAGGTGTCATAATCTCGTACCTGGGTGAGTCTCTTGATGAAATTTTCGCGGCAGCCGCTCATCTTGGTGTCCGTTTTTCAATTCATTTGCACATTTTTTTGCGTCGCGCACTTTACAAATTCACATGTGGAAGCTCTTTACTTATGGAAAAATCTTTACTCACGGAAAAATCAAAAGCGGAAGAAAGTTAACTAAAAAGTAAACAAACAAAAAAAAACAGGAAAAAAAAACAGACTCAAAGAAGAGTACCATTCTGTCAAGAAAAGAAAAAAATCCTTTATGAAACCACTGGTGCTGGCGGAGCTCTACGCTGGCGTCCAGATTTCGAACAAAGAAGTCGCCGTCAAATCTAAATTGTCAAACATAATGCTAAAAACGAGGTTTCCTTTCATTTATGCAAGTATTAGCCGTGATACAAAAACATTAACAATCGCCTCGATTCGTTGTCTTGCTTCTCAGCAAATTTTCCGATTATCCATTTTTGCCGCGGGTCTTTTCTTTGCCTGTGGGAACTTTGCCCGTTGTGTCGTCCTCCTGAACGCCCCACTGAGCAATCGAGATGAAAAAAAGCTTCTGTTACGGTTTACTCTTCCCGCGAAATCCTGATCTAGCGTCAGCGACGCTAGGAGGTCCCATCATCCCATTGGAGGCGAGATAATCTCCTGGCGTGGCGCGAGTTGTTTGCGAACCTTTTATACTGACGAGCTAAAATCTCGCGTTTGATTTGGGGACGAATACATCCGCTTTGAGCGAATTTATAGGGTATATAAATTTGACCAATTTTCGTCAAATTTCGCCAAAATACCCAAGAATAATAACAAACGAAAGCATCAGGAAATTTTGATATTTGAAATATTTGTCCCGTAGCGTCCAGTTACGCAACGCCTCGCATATTTTTAACTACTCCAACTTTAAATTTGATATCTAGACAACCAATCAGAATATCGAAAATGAATAAGACTGGGCAGCCAATTTGCTCGTGCTGCAGTATCCAATACCCGATAAATTCAACAAAAGAACCCTCGGTCGTTTCACGTCTTACCGGCTCCTGACACTTCCTAAAAGGAAAACTCGCTTAAATTATATTTGTATCGTAAACCGCAGTTATTAAGCTTTCTTCCGATATATCCTTTGCTAGGATTTTAGTGAAACTAGCGCGCGTACGAATTTTCACCGAAGGTAGGAAGTAACCTTAAGATTGAAGTAGAGTTAGGCCTATCAGGCGAGGAAACGGAGAACCTCAAAGCTGATCAACGATCAGCCGTTCAATCTTAAATAAATTTAATGGAAATTACCCGTGTCATGCAACCGTGCGTTGACCAAGCAGCACGTGGGTAGTTAGCATGCAGGATGAAAGTGAATTAGAAAATCCACGCAACACGCAGGCGATCATAGGTGTTCTACTATTCCTCTTTACCTCCTGACCTTCATTATTTATTTGTTTTTTTTTCCCTTCTCTTTCCAGTGCAAGATCACAATCTTGCGTGGATAACAAACCTGCATGCTACTGAATTTGAGACCGGTGAAAAAATAAATCTGACGTTGACTTAAAGATCTTAATCTCTGGCATGAGAATCAGCAGAAAAAAAATGTCTGACATGAGACGACAAAATGATTTATTTAACATTTATCACCAATGCATCAAGTATCGCAATAAGCTGACTTTGATATAATATACTAAAATACATGGCATATAGGCAAAATTTAAAACCTTACACGAGAAACCGAAACAAAAACTACCTTTGGACTATGTAACTTAAATCTATCAAATGCTACACCGTACAGGCCTACTCTCAACGAGATTAAACACAATTAAGTTATCAGAACATTAATAAAATGATTGCTGTTTCCCTCTCTTGATGGTAAAAAATGCTGGCAACAGTTTCAACTGCACTCATCTTGACTTGTAGAATTCTTATCTAACCTGCATCCAGTACAGTATAGCAACTTTCTTAACAAAGAGTACACTCTTCTGACCTGCATTCAGTACAATAGCAACTTTCTAGACAAAGATAACACTCTTCTGAAAAGCAACTCTTGATCCTGAAAAATTTTTTTACTCTTGTATACGTCATGGAAAAGGCTTTCAATCGGTCTCCCCTATATAACCTTTATAATATGACTAACATATAGTGAAATCTGTCTGACAGGCTAATGTCTAAAAGAATGCTAAGAACTTTTATTGCTACAGGAAGTTGTTCAGCTTTTTTACCAAAAAGCAAACCCGTTGTACAGTCACAAAGCACATACATTAATAAACAAAGCCTTCTTTGCTAAATCATAAACAATGGAGAGGAAAATATCCATCTGCCATGTGGTACCTAACCTGTAACGAACTGGAATCATTCTTGATATGAAAAAAAAAAACTTTTGAATCAATTTTTCTTTTTGGAAAGATAAAAAAAGGCTCTAATTCTTTAGTTTATGACTACACACTGAGTTAGATGCCAACTATGCACTGAAACTTACAACAACTATAATCTAGAAAAAAGGAAATATCAAAACTGTGACGTCAGTTTACACAACCAAGGGAGCCTTGTCATGAGTCTTTGCTGTTTGTTCTGTGAACATGGCCTGTCCAGCATAAGTATCCTGAGGGTAAGCACCCTGAGGGTAAGCACCTTGGGGGTAAGCCCCTTGGGGGTAAGCCATTGGAGCCCCTCCGCTAACCTGCATGGATGAATGAGAGACCACCACACCAGTGGGGGCCATTGTTGGCTGAGCAATAACCATCATGGGGGGATCCTAAGAGAAGCAAAGATTTGCTCAGTCATTATGTTACTCACTGCTGTTTTCAAAATAACTGGCCAGCATAAATAACTTACAAACAGAATGCCTGTCATACAAGAACATGTTGTCAATAACTCAATGAGGTATTTAAAAATGATATCATTACTAGTAGCAATGGACTACAAAATACAAAAATACGAGGCGCAATTGCTTGAGGTGAACTCAGATTCTTTCTTGTCCACCACTCCTCAAAAACTGAACATCTTTCTTAGCAGTTTCTTTTCAACAATATTTTCAACAAAATTATGCTATTAAGATTTCTAATGTTCATGTATCATTTAGTGCTTTCAATCCTACAAATCTCTAAATGCCTCTCTACTTACAGGTGGGGCACAGCAAGTTGTGACACAGCCCAAAATTGATCCAGCCAGGGCCAAAGCAGTGGAGATGTAGCAGACAATCATGATCACAACAATCACAGCTCTGATGCTGCTCAGGTAGGAGCAGTCATCCACTGCAGTAAAGAGTGTCATTTTAGAGATATTACCTCTAACAGTGATCAGAAAGGTGGTTCATTGAGCTTTATAGGGATGAAGTAAAACTTAAAAAATGTAAAAATTACCTTAATTGCTATTATTTTTATTATTGAACTACTCTTATCATTATTTGCATTGCCATTCTCCTGTAATTTTGTGGACAATAGTTATAAAGGATTACATATATACAGTATTTTTGTCTCCCTTTTGCAGTCTGTGTTGGCTAAAAACTTAAAATTTTGACACCAAGTTACTGAAATGGGTTCTTCACCCCACTTATAAATTTACTTAACCCTTTAACTCCCAGATCAAATTTGTAATTCTCCTTACTGTCAACTATACAATTCTTATAATGTTAGTTTAGAGAACTTAGTATTGGGTCAATGAATCTTCCCCTGATTGATTTTTTTCTTTATTCTCATAACTCATCTAGTTGATATCATATTGATATTGTATGGGGAACTTCTGTCCTGGTCACTCATGGGAGTTAAAAGGTTAACTTAAAAAGAATATTTACACAAAGCATTGTGCAACAATGTGTAGCCATGGGGAAGTTTTGCGGGACTCCAAAAAATCCAAAGAGCAAGAAAGAAAAGTGATACTAAAGTAGAGAAAGATGCAAATTGCAACTTTATATGCCTTTAATTAATTGTGCAACCAAGTGTCTTCCTCTCAATTATAGCAAACAAGTTGATTTTTCAGGATGTTGATCTTGGGACACTCTGCAATAAACCTCTGCAGTTGATCCTGCTGAGAAGTTTTTGAAGAGAAGTATTTGTAGTTTGAGCAAAATTTTTATAAAACAAAACACAAAATCCAGATACAATACTATAATAGGCCACTTCCGAGTTCTCACAGTGATCTGGTGCCAAAATTACAGCGTGAGGATGAGGCTAAGTGCAAAGTTGTTTTCATTGGTATAAAGAATAAAGTGCCCTGGTGATGAAAATGAGAGAAAATTTCCCGAATGTCAGGGTAAGAGAGTGAAAAATTATTTGTGGGAGAGAGGCATTCAGCTAAGTGATGGACACAAAGGAAAGAAAACGGCAAAACTGTTTGATTTATGCAAGAAAGCTGCAACAATGAAGCAGATCCAAATAGCAGCTCTGCTGAAGACTGCATGAGGCAATAAGGAGAAATTACTAACAAGTGAGGGCAAATTTCTAGTACCTAAAATTTTGGATGCTTGGATGCACAACTTCTGTAACTTTCCAGAGTTTGTGTTAGGCATTTGCATGCCATTTACTCATTGTTTTTTTCCTGATTCGATCGTCGCAAGGGCCTACTGTAATTTGCAAAACAATCTGAACAAAATCAATTTGAAATCTTTTACTTGCAAAATGAACTCAAAATATGTAATAAGCAAAATGGAAGGCTGTGTTTGCGAAATGAAAATCTGTCTTTTACCAAAGGAGGAGTCATGTGGTAAACTCCTCTGCCCGGGAGGATGAATTGTTCAGTTCATTACTAGCGTAGATTGCAAATAAAACTTAGCATACAATATAAACTAAAATTTACATTTGAACCCCAAGCTAAAATTCCTTCTGATTTCATTCCATATTTGAAGATTTTTGTTGTAAAAAAGGAATGGTCAGAGATAACTGCCATGGTTTCTTGATGAGCCCAGGGAATGTGTGACCCTTCCAGTTCAAGTAAAGTGTCATGTCACACATTTGAATAATTCATCATAAATGTTCCAGTGAATATTTCGCAAAGTAAACTACGACGATTTTCCTTTCGCACTTTCTCTAATGGTTATTATTTCAAAGTTATGTATGTTATCTGCAATAGCAGTGAACTGACCGATTCATCCTTCCAGCTCGAGGTCATAAGTTTTCCACATTTCTTGTTGCAAACAACAGATCTACAGATTTCCATCAGCAAATTGCAGAATTACAGGTTTTTGAGTTCATTTCATAATTTACAGCTTTCAATTTCTTTGTGTTCATTTCACAAACTACAGTGAGCCCTCACTACGATTCAGCAAGAAGTAAACAACAGTTAAATGATGACATCAAAACAACTAAGGCAAGGCTGAGCTCTGGAATGTTAGAAAAGTGGTACCTCTGCACATTAAAAATTTTTGGTACCTGAAATTTGCTCTCACAACTCGTAAAATGACTTTCAGCGAATTTTTTATTTGAAAATCAACCCTGCTGCGACATAGCAGAGATATGAAAATCACCAAGAATAGAGTTATCTTATGAGCAGTGTGAATACCCTGGTGCCAGCCCGTCTGAGTGCGGGGCATATCAATAATAAATAGAGTGTAGTTGCATTTTCAACCAAGAAGTATCGCACCGAAAAAAATAAACTACTCACTGCTTAATGATGAGTTTAGGGGTGTAATTCCCGAGAAATATCTCAAATGTTCAAGAACTTAAAACCGACGGCAAAGAGCATGACAGGAAGCGCAACTTTCACTTCTTTCGACAAAAAATATGAACAAATTAATGTCATCGTGACACGAAGTTTCCGCTCCAGGTTCCCAAGTTGGAAGGATAAAAATACCTGTCTGCTTCCGTAAGCTGTGACAAGGGGGTTAAATCTTGCAAAAATTTTCGTCAAATTTTGGTCAGTAAATCTTTGAGACAACTCAAATGCCAATGTTTGCGGCCTGAGCTCATCCGGTCATTTTCTGGTTGTTTTAAAAACTAGAATGGAAGTTAGTGACTTTTGTCATGTGGGTCTAGGATGGATATAATCACCTGGTTAACATGTTCTAATGGGAAAAACAGTAAATATATAATGTTAGTAGGGACAGCTTACTTAGTCATTGAGGTCAAGATGTCATCACATCTCTTAACTCTTCAAATTAAATATTCCAAGGAAAAATTACATCCCTGTAGTAATCTAAATGGGAAAAGCTCCATACAGAAAAATAGTAAGGACTTGAAAGGAAGCGTAATTCCGTAATAACAATAATAGGGTCATGATAATTCCAAAAATATCTTTTTGCTAAAGACGAGTCCTGAATTTTAGTTTAGATTGTCTGCATTTCATAAAATGCGAAATATATTGAGCTATAGTGATCTTGGATGAATCAATGAAAATCCATTGACGCTGAAGCAAATCAGGTTTTAGACGTCTATCTATTGAGCTGTTCCAGAAAATGTTTCATTTTGGAGTTCTTGAACCATTTTATGATGATTTAGGAAAACATGATATGAAATCGTTAGTTAGGCTCTACACCAAAGAGTTAAGAAACAATCTGGCGGAGGCCCTCTTCACTAACTCCTGTATGTATGTATTTTATTTAAGATGACAACTAATGTGAAAGCCCATATCTTACATGCTACCGTCTCTAACTGTTTGCCGTTCAGAAAACGTATTTCATTTTCCCTTTTTTCTCTTTTCTTTTCCCTTTTTTTTTTTTGGACCACAAAATTATGAGGGCGGAGTAGTTGTATGGTACAAATCGGCCCTGCATCTAGCTCGTAAGTTGGTAAACCGTTTTTCGCAGACGTCTGTAACTTTCTTCTCAGAGTACCTTAGAGGGTCATTGTGAGTCCAATTCTCATTCGGCTTGAGCCAGTTTGTATTGAACCCAATTCGAATTATTCTTTGAACCAAAGTTAGACAAATGAATGCAGAATATCACTCCTGACCAACCGAGCGCGCGCTGGAGAATTTTAACCCGTACAAAAACGACTGAGGGCCAATATTCCCCCAGAACGGCTAGAGCAAGCATTCGGACCAAAGTTCTTTACTAAATTTGCTGGCTTTCGAAAACAAAAATACACGGCTTATTACCGTTTCCGTGGAGACGGTCCGTATGACAAAATACTGACCAGTCAATATGCTATGATCTACCTCGGGACTACCTAGCCTTAATTGAGCCGTTCCTTTGTCGGAAAAATTTAACAGGACACGAAATTGAACCTAAACTTCAAAACCTTCCGTCCGACTGTGGCTTAGAACACTTGGAAGTGTCACCACCCTACAAAAAGGGATCTATTTACTCTAATGGGAAATAGAATTCACGTACGACGATATGGTCATTTCCGGCGTTGAATTTGAATCGGCCGGAAATTAAATATTTCTGCGGCACGAGAGCAGTAAGGACCGTGCCTGGTCAGTGCATCATGGGATATGATGAGAGTTAGGTAAGACAGGTTTGTCACGTGAGAGACCACTCTAGACCATAGTGTACGTAGTAGTAAATGCTTTCATTTCTGTTTTAGCAGTGTGGCCTTCGTGGAATGGGTTATTCAGAGCGTGAGCCATGGTTCCTAGAGGATTTTTCCGGCAGGTTTTTTTTCTAGCCTTCGTTGAGGCAATAACTATTTCTGTCGCTTAGCACTACTCTTTCTTTTACAGTGTTACTATTTTCACTCGCATAGAACTGTAAGAACTAAAGTTGTAACATGCTACAACGTTGTCAAAGTTCCCGGCTCTGTATGGTACGGTACTGTAATCATATGTAATAAGGTGCCGGGGGCTCGGCCCAAACTGCCAAATAAACGTAATGGTTTTTCTGTTTATTTTGCATACTGAGTAGTGGAGCTAAAATCGACCATCTCAAGTGAAGCATTAGATGAAAACTGATCCCTTTCTTATTCATATGCAATTTAATGCGAAAGGAATCTAAACAAAAATAACGAAAATCTCATAACGAATGGGTACTTTATCCATCCGGTTCAGCACCCCACAGTCAGAGCAGGTCTATGCTCTGTCATGGTTTCTCAACCCAAATGATCGATGATGCCGATTTTGTAATTGACGAGGATTGCCAAACAGGATCTAACCAAACTAGAGACCACAGAACAGAAGGATACAGTATTAGTTTCCTCTGTTTTTGGTTTTCAATGTATTTGACCTTATTCTAGTTACAGTCGTGATGTAGTGACTGAAATTATTCGAGTTGCGTTTGATGTGCAGACGATTGCTAATCTAGATTCGTCTACAGTATGTTCTCAGAATTTGTGGCATTAGTTCACGAATATTGTCCAAAATCATGGACATATTCAATTTTCTCTTTTGGATCTCCTGGTCCCCTGTCAACCATGTCTTGTTTTTAGTGTTATAGTAGTTATCCAGGGCGTTCAAAGACCATGGTATGTTGACTTTGCCCAGCTCGGCAACAAAGAACCGTGCGAAGTTGATGGCTTCTGATTCCGTTATCGAACCATTTGCGTTATCTTGCAGCATCCACGCACCGAGGTATGTCAGCAAATCAGATTTCTTTGTGTAATCTGTTGCGTGTTTAATTGCTGTTTTGACATTGTTTCGGCCTCCAGAAGTGCCATTGTCGCTCCAGTACTTCTTGGAACCGAGCACTTTGTTTGGACCAGATGCATAAATATGCCACTCAGCCATCGTATAGTGATCATTTTCATAGATTTCTGGATCGATTTCAGATAAGTCCTTGGTAGTTTTTTAGGAGATCCCAAAATCAATATTCGCTGAGCGTTGTTCCCTCCTGTTTTCCGGATCGCTTTTGTCGCATTCCTGGTCCAGAGGTTGTATTTGTCGGTTTTCTCGCGAAGACTCTCGCTACTTCTGTTGTTTCGTTCACAAGTGTCTTTTCCAAGTTCTGTAGAAAGATTAAAACTCAGTCTGTAGTCCTTTCTTTTTAACTGCTTTGCCACCTCTGTCCACCAATCCACGCCGGTAAGCTATAAAGTCCTCTTTCCCTCTGATGGGGAATCCAGGAGATGATTGGAATCACATCGTGTTTCAGACAATGGTTGACAGTCGTCAGGTTGCCAAGAAATCATGTGAAGTTTACAGCGGAGAAATCGTATGAATATAGATCTGCCCTGCATCGAAACCATAAGTTACTAAAGCCTTTCTCATGGACGTCTATGGTGTTCTGTTCCAAGTACTTTTTCAGTGGCGACTTCCATTTGAACCAGTTTGTGCAAAATCCTGCTCGAATCTTAGCTTGGTACTCTTTCGGAGAAATCGGATTATTCACGTTCACTACTGCAAAAAATTGAATGGACCGTTTTTTTACGGGCCAAAATCGGGCCAAAATTCTTGAGTGCGGCCCTCGAGCTCGGTTAGTTAGGAGTAAATATTCTGCCTTCATTTGTCTACACTGATTTGGCAGTTTGCCGATTCCACCGGCAAGCTATCAAAGGATAATTCGAGCTGGGTTCAGTACAAACTGGCTCAAGCCAAATGAGAATTGGACTCACGATGACCCACTAAGGTACTCTGAGAAGCAAGTTACAGAAGTCCATGAAAAAAGGGTTTACCAACTTACGAATTCGATGTAGGGCAGATTTGTACCCAAACAACTACTTCGCCCTAAATTTTACATGGTTTCTTGGCAACTTAACGACCACTGTTGATGACTGTCTGAAACGTGATATAGTTTCAATTATCTCTTAGTTTCACCGTAAGGTCGGAGGCCTACGCCATAGAGAAGGATCGCATCGCTTATGTTGCCTGGTGGACAGCCGTGGCACGACGGTTAAAAGACAGGGACTATAGACTGTCTTAATCTTTTCACAGAACTGGGATTTGGCGCGTGTAGAACTAATGGGATACGTTGCAAAAATAGTCCTCGAAAAAATATCGTCAAATACACTCAAGAATGTAACAGAAGCAATCCAAACTACAAGGGGAAAGAACGCTCAGCGAATACTTATTCTGGTATCGCCAGGAAAAACTGCTAAGGAGTCATCTAAAATCAATTTAACAATTTATCAAAATGATACATATATGATGGCTAAGTGGCACATTTATACTTCTGGGTCAAACAAAAGAGATAATTTGTCAGTGTACTGGAGAGGAAATGGTAGTTCTAAATGCCGAACAAATGTCAGAAATGCAATTGAAAAAGCGACTAATTCCACGAAGGAAACAGGTCTGCTGACGTATTTTAGTGCGTGTATGGCGCATGATAACTTATTTGGTGTGACAACGGAATCGGAAGCTATCAACTTTGCCCGTTCTATCATTACAGAGCTGCAGCAAGTCAACATATCATGGTCCTTTTATGCTCTGGAACACTACTACGACACCAAACGTGCGAATAAAAGAGAGGGACTCAGAACATCAAAAACCAAGCACTAAACTTGTCCAGGAGTTTGGAAATCATATGTGAAGTTATGCCAAAATAGCCTTAAAATTAAAATTTACGCCAGATTAGGCCAGTTATCGTCATTACATATTAGTTACTGGTATAGTTTACGTCTTCGTAATTTTGTGGTCAACGGTTGAAGGTCTATTTTTTCGGTTGGTTTATTAAAATTAATCGATGATTTGTAAATAATTCCACAAACAGTCATATCTTCCTTAAAAGCAACAAATAACGAAAAAAGAGAATTTAGACTGAAACTTTTATATCTTTAAGCGCCCAGAAATTACTCCCAACATGATGATTTATGCAGAAAACGAATGCGTCAGTACTCCTTTTAAAACGATTTATTACGATTCTTCAGCAGTTTGCATCATTCTAAGTCCTTGACTGAAGTTTTCATACAGACTACAAAATGCCCAAAACACGACTAAAATTACTCTAACTTATTACTTTTTGAGACCCAGACGAAAACAATGGTTGACACGATCTGGGCTTACTTAATAAAGTAGCTCAAATGTACCGATGTAAAGTTAACTAATAAATAGCCTTTGGCATTTCTTTATGAATATTGTTCAAAATCTTGGCCATCTTTAACTGCTGATCTTTGATGACTTGAGTCTCTGTCCGCCATTTGCTTTTCTTGGTGTCGTAATAGTTGTCCAGAACGTTCAGGGACCACGGTATGTTCTCCTTACGCAGCTCCTTAACAAAGAAACGGGCAAATTTTATGGCTTCTGTTTCTGTTATGCTTCCGTTTGCGTTATCGTGAGGCATCCAAGCACCAAGATAGGTCAGCAGACCAGTCTTGTTCGAAAAACTCGTCGCGTAGCTAATTGCTTCTTCGACATTTGCTTGGCCTCCAGATTTACCATCACCACTCCAATACTTTTGGGAATCCTTCTCTTTGTTTGGCCCTGAAGCATAAAGATGCCATTCAACCATCATATACCGATCATTTTTGTAAATTTCTGAATCGATTTTAGGTAAGTCCTTGGCAGTTTTTCCTGGTGACCCAAGAATGAGTATTCGCTTTGCGTTATTTCCACCCGTACCTCGAATCGTTTTTGTTACATTTTTTGTCCACTCGTTGTATTTGTCTGTTCTCCTGCGAAGACTTTTGTCACAACTTTTGCCTTCTTCTTTACAAGTGTCAATTCCAAGTTCTGTGAAGAGATTAAAACTCAGTCTGTAGTCCTTGTCCTTTAACTGGCGTGCCACAGCTGTCCACCAACCAACATAGGCGACACGATCCTTCTCTGTAGCGTAGGCTTCTGCGTGGTGGTGTATCCAGGAGATAATTGGAATAACATCGTGTTTCATACAATCGTCGACAACGGTCGTCAGAGACCCAAGAAACTGTTTGAATTCGACAGTGGAGAAGTCGTATGAGTACAGATCTGCCCTACATCGAAGCCTTAAGTTACTAAAGCCTTTCTCATGGACGTCTATGATGTTCTGTTCCGAGTACTTTTTGAGTGGCGGCTTCGATTTGAACCAATTTGTGGAAAATCCTGCTCGAATCTTAGCTTGGTACTCTTTCGGAGAAATGGGATTATTCACGTTCACTACTGCAAAAAAATTGAATCGACCGAGAGCATTAGATAGAATGTTATTGTATGTTCAGTATGCCTCAGAGTTCGTTCACCAAGCAAAGCAACGATCCCCAATATTGATTTTTAATACAATACCTTGAGAAGACAAGAGATACACATCGAAACGTCGTTTAAAAACAATTTCAATTTTTAAAAATACCCCAAACCAGACAAAAACACTCAATTTGCTTTAGAAATCTGGTCTCAAGCATCAGGGTGCGGAATCCGTCGGTATAAGGTTTGACTCCTTGAAGATTTGGAATATCTTTTTGTCACACACTTGTGACACGACGGAAAAAAAAACATTCTTTTAGACTAAAAATGTTCCAATGAGTTAACTGAATTTACCGGCATTTTCAATAATAACTGCGGCAAACAAACTAAGCTTGATTACTTTAGCATTTCAGAAATTATCGTGCATTAGAGCGACCTAGACATTTATCACTTACTTTGAAAATCAATTCGCTGATTCTCAATAAACCGGTCAAAAAGCGCGAACAACCGGCGAACAACCGGCGAAAAACCGGCGAGTGCGACCGAATCAATGAGCGCGGTGATACAAGGAATCCAAGCTGAAATCACGATGAAGCTCAAGAGAAAGTTTTGCCTGAACAATGAAGGAAAAAAAAATCATTACCATTAGGCTTTCTTCAATTTGGATAAGGAAAACGCAAGCTTTGTGGTAAGAAAAGAAGTGTGCCCCTATTCCTGTAAATTCGGCTGTCGTTCATTCATAAATGAATAATAATTTGAACAATTTGTTTTCTAATTGTCATGAAAAAAAGAGGAGTTTTTTATGAGCCACAATTCGACCGAATCTCAGTCAGTGCACATTTCACTTTTAGATTCAGTATTAAAACTAAAAACCTTTAGGAAAAAGTGTTAAATTTGACCTGCCGAACTATTTCAGTTTGTGAATTATTGCAGATATGCGACCAATCAGTTTATTTGAACCATTCTAACAAGGATTGTAATTGGCTTGTTGTTGCGTGCTTTATGAGAGTAAAGAGCAAGCTTACGACACTGTTGTTCGCTTTAGAAATAAATTTTGCTCTGAAAATTGAATGTGATGCCTGGGGAGTTTAACGAATTCTTTACTATAAAACAAATGGAGTGCTTTGACTCAAGAAGTAGGGAGAAACACTCGACTACCGCTAGTGTTTCTCCCTGCTCTTCTTTCGTGCTCTAACCGCTTTCTACGTGCTTTACAACAGAACAAAGCACAGTCGAGGCTTCTCTATGTATTTGTTCAAGAAACTCTTCACGTCACAATTTAATAAAAAAAATTTTCGATGGACCCACCTGTTTCCCCGGTTATGAAAACCATAAACAGCAGGAAAGCTGAAGGTAACAGGACCAATGATCCAAACATGTCGTTTCCTTTCGTTGATTCCTGTCGATCTGTATAAGGGAATTTAAGAGATACATTTAAGGCCTTGTGTCCGAGAGGAAAGTGTCGTTTGGTGTATCATAGGATTGCAAAGTGTAGTAACAATTATTTTAACATATGACACGGGTCTTGTAAACGCAAGAAATTCGTACGTTTTTCGCTTCGTTTTTCAAACATTGAATATTATTTTAAAATGTTGATATGCCCTAAAGCAGAATTCAATAGGATATTTTAATTTTAGAATCGTACAAATTCACGATTTCCATCACAAACTTACGCAATTTACTGGCGGTGAGTTCTATTAAACAAAGATTTAAGCAAACTGAATCTACTACGCAGTCTTCAGTATGCAAGAAATTCGTTTTTTTTTCTAGCGTCTTAAACAAATTTACATTTTTGAAATAAAATTTTGGTCTCAAAATATTTTTTTGGTCGTTTTTGCCTTTTCTTTTATTCATAGTTTTTTGGCCAGATCGCGATTAAGTGGTAAACTCGACACAGTAGTGATAAAACCCTTTCTTCAAGCACGAGTTGAGTCCGTTATGTTATAAAAGAGCTGGTTCGTGCTTTTAGTTATGCGTATATCGAGTTATGGATGCACTTGGAAAGTTTAGAGAGCACTCAAGAAGCTAAAGTTGCTCGAGGCGCGGCCGAGAGTAACTCTTACGCTTATCTCGTGCTTTCCAAACTTCCCGCGTACATTCATAACTCGATATACGCACGCTAAGAATGAGCCAACTCCCCAATTTTCTTATAAAATATAAAGGGGGCAAGTCCTACGTAATTCCTAAGGAGCTACTATGGTAAAAAAGTCCTTATGTACGCACTGCCATGCATCCATAACACGACGTGTGCAGTTTCACCTTATTTTAGCTGCAAGTGCCCGTTGAGTATAGCCGCGAGGTTTCAAACCTTTCAAAATTTTGTTTCCATTCCTCCTTGATTGAGATAGACCTTTTGGAGCTCAAAATGAAAAGCAGATATACTAAACAAAACTTATGAGAATGTAAGTCATCTCTCTGACTTTAAGTGAGGCTTTGCGACGTAGGGGTCAATTCTTTAGAACGGTAAATATTATTTTAAGTTCGACATGTCCCAAAAATAATTTTCAATAGGAGATTTTGACTTAAATTATACATTTTTCGCGAATTTCAGCGCAAAGCCTTGCAATTTTCGAGTCGTAACTTCTAGTAAACACAAATTCAAGTAAGGCGAATCAACTTGGCGGGTCTCGTAAAGACAAAAAATTCGTACGTTTTTCGCTTTGTTTTTCGAACAGTGAGTATTGCTTTTAAATCTTGCTATGCCCCAAAAGTATTGTTAAATAGATGATATTAATTTCAAACCGTACAATTTCAGAATTTTCATCACAAACCTACACAATTTTCTGGCCGTGAATTCTAGTAAACATCGATACAAGCATGTTGAATCTACGACGTGTTCACGCACATGCAAAAAATTCGTTTTTCTCTTTAAGCTTTTTATCATCATACTTAAAATCCTTCAAATACATTTTTGGTCTAATATATTTCTTGGTCGTCTTTGCCTTATCATAAAGTCATAGCTTTCGGGTAGATCGCGATTACCTGGGAAACCCGACACAATAGTGATATTTTAAAAAACTCTTTCTTCCAGCACAAGTCATGCTTTTAGCTGTTCGTAGATCGAGTTATGAAAACACGCAGGAGACTTTGAAAGCACCAGGGAAGCGCTATAGCTGCTGAAGGCACAGCCGAGAGCAACTTAAGCTTCTTGATTGCTCTCCAAACTTCCCGCGTGCATCCATGATTCAATATACGCATGCTAGGCATGAACCAAATCTTTAAGGTCTTGGTAAAGAGCGTGGGCCAGTACGAAGAAGAGTTTTAAAGATAACTTTGTTATTCTATACCAATTGTAGCCCTGAGTATGTTTTAGAATTGGCTCTAAGTTGATTGAAATAAATAAACCGCTAATGTCACGGGAGCGAGCTCTTTTTTGGCACAATTACTCCAAGATAGCACTAAAGTTTCAAAGTTGAGCTTTGTTGAATTCACTCTAGCGTGACATCCGCCGCATTATCGACTATTCTTCATGAAATTAGCAAGTATCCGAGACGTGTGGTTTGTTTTTATGCTCACTTAAGTTTATATCAAATTCATAGAATGGGATTTTAAAACAAAGGAATCTTGTGATTGGTTTTGTCTCTAACCGAGGAATTATGGCTGTGTTCGCTTAAATATTTCAGACAAAAAAGATGCAACTTATGTGCCTGTTCAGCGGAGAACTGATTTCAAGTCATTGAAGACCTTTTTTCCCGTGAAACATCGGTTACAATGACACATAATTATATTTATTATATTATTATTATTGGACTTGAAATAGGATAACCACCAGATACCTCACTAAAACATAACGGTTTCAAAGCGTATCACATTTCTGAACATGATAGACATTTCCGTCACTACATACTCAACCAAAACCATCATTTTCGATCCCTGATCCCAAGTATTTCGTAGGATAGTAGATAAAATCTAGTTGCCTATTTAGTAAAAAATGGTTTTGAAGAGTGATAGTGTTTGTCCCTGGTGTAGTTACTTACTTGTCAAGGTGTTGCTGCTGACATAAGTATGTAGATCAAGCAAATGAGATCTGGAGAGCTAACCCTTCAAACGTCTGCTTTAGAAACCCTTTACTTTGGCCAGTTTACTTTGGCCAATGGGCTATTTCCGAATTACCTTTAGCCTCTTTTTCATAACAAGGCCTGGTGCTTGTATGAAAATGAATTTAATTTGCATGTGAATGAAAACTTATAATCCTATGAAGGGTTGTGGACCAGGACTCGCTTTGAAAATAAAGGGCTATTTACATAAGCTAGTTATCTTGTTATACCCCCAGCCGACACAGCATCATACTATGTTTCTGAAGAAACTTACCCTCTGAGGTCTGGAATTGCTCAGCTACCGAGGCACTAATGATCTAAGACCATCTAAGATGAGCTACGTTTTAAGGAAATGGGTGTTACTAACTTTAGGCCCGCGGCCTCGACGTCCGACCTCATCAAGACCTGTAGCCATAACAGGTTAGCCAAAGGGCAATAGATTCTAAAATGTCGGAATATTGCGCTATTTTAAGTTCACAGAAGGTAAAAATGTCCATTGTTTTCACGATAGAGTATCGCTACTTGAGAATTTTTGGTGACAAATCTTACTTGTCACAGAAAATAAAGGGCTATTTACATTAAGCTAATTATCTTGTTATACCCCCAACCGACACAGCATCATAATATGTTTCTTAAGAAACTTACCCCCTGAGATCTGGAATTGCTCAGCTACCGAGGCACTAATGATCTAAGACCATCTAAGATGAGCTACGTTTTAAGGAAATGGGTGTTACTAAATTTAGGCCCGCGGCCCCGGCGTCCGACCTCATCAAGACCTGCAGCCATAACAGGTTGGCCAAAGGGCAATAGATTCTAAAATGTTGGAATCTTATTCTATTTTAAGTTCACAGAAGGCAAAAATGTCCATTGTTTTCACAATAGAGGATCGCTACTTGAGAATTTTTGGTGACAAATCTTACTTGTCACAGATCCAATTTATTAGATAAATGTGATTTTTGGTCAAACGCAGAAATTAACCCAAAACCCTGTTACCGAAAACGTTTAATTCAGTCTTAACTCAGTCCGAAATAATTCCAAAATCGTCCAAGAGAGCAAATCGAAGTGGCAGCGAACCCCTAGGCTCGTAAATTGAACTATCCCGGAGGGTTGAAACGTCGAGGCCACTGAAAGGACTTCGTATTTTAAAATCTACCCGTATAAGGAAGAAAATGTTTTATCAATATCAGTCTACTAGCGGAAACATGTTATCACATAGAAATATATTACAAACTTTGGCAATGGACAGTACAACCCCGCTCAAGTGAAAGGTCCCAGGAGCGATTCCAAGCGATGACGATTTCTTCTCCAATTAAAATACACGTTTTTCTGGTTTTTTTCAGAACAGCACCATTTATTGCGCAGAAATCGACATTTAAGCAGCCATTACCGAAGCACAGCGTTTGTCTCTCCTTTCCCAGCTTTTGCAAAAGGGGAAGGTTCTAATCATGCCTGAGAGCAGCTCATCGATTTTGCGTTTTCGACGTTCATGCTTTCAATTTTGGGACCAAGATGGCGTATATACAAGGCATCTAAATAACTAAATGTGAGACGGCTTATAGCCATTGAGCGATATATTTATCCGACGGAGGGAAGATTGAATTTTTGGTCCTAACAACAACTCAGAAGTGACTTTTGACCATATTTTTTAATTGAAAAGTAACCCAGCGCCAAGTTAAAGTAAACAGAGTTTCTTAATGCTTGAGAAATTATTGTGCATTCTAGTTCGTTCTCAGAACAAAGCACGATCGTGAAGTGAAGACCGTATTAACGCATGAATACTCATTTTCAAGCTGAATTTGCAGCAGTGTAGGCAGAACTTTAGAAAATATTGTAAAAATTGATTATTTAGCTTTTTCATTCCTGCTAGGATTCCCAATCGCAAAACGTTCTAGAATTTCAGCGCTATCATCCACCATGAAGCTGGAAAGCCGCGAAAGGTAAACATTAAATCTAATCTTGAGAGATCTGTCAGTAAAGCGATAAAAGAAAATAATATACGCAGAATATCATGAGTTTGAAGAGAGAGAGAGTTTTTCATCATGAAGTTACTTACTTGTCACGGTGCTGACTTATTTTTTTGAAGATCAGGCAATTGAGATCTGGAGCAGTTCAGTTACAGCGAGGCACTAATTATCTAAGACCATCTGAGGTGGGGACTACATTTTAGAGTAGTGGGTGTTGCTAAAATCAGGCCTGCGGCCCACGTCTTACCTCATCAAGGTCCCCAGGCCATAACAGGTTGACCTGAGGCCAACGCACTCGAAAGACTTCGAATCTTATGGTCTGTTAAGTTCACATGTGGAAAATTCTCTAGGGTTTTATATGTTACTTTTTTTTTCCAGATTATCAGCCCATAAAACTTTGTTGCTGATTGTTCAGGGAATGAAATGAAAGTCTTTCCTGCCGGACAGATTGACGTTTTTCGGCAAAACAGGGAAATTGAACCAAACTTTTTCCGATTCACTTAACCAGACATTAAAACGAAAACGTGTAACTAAGTCTTAACAAACTCCGAAAAAATTTAAAGA